ATGGTGCACCAGGAAACATAGTGTGATGGTGTACCAGGAAACATAGTGTGATGGTGCACCAGGAAACAATCCTGGAGCTGATACAAAGGAGGTGAGCACCAGTAGAATGAATCATACAATCAAAATTAATAATGGAGGATTTCCAATGTTGGTGTATAGTTTGTAAATGATATATTCATAACAGTTATACTTACAGTGGATACTTACTAATTTGTTTTTAATTGTTTCAGAATCAGCATGAGTTCCTGCTGACGCATGTAGCTGTAATTGAACTGCATGTAACTGTAGCAATAAATTATTGACCTCCTTCTCCATTACTTTTCGTGTGGCCTGTTCTTCTACGATGTCATGTYGAAGTGCAATCAATTCAGCCTGATTATGGGAAAAAGAATTATAAATTATTTAYTATTATTATTATTAACACTAACGAGCATTAATTTTTGATTACGCTTAATTGTTATTTAGGATTGATTGGATCAGTAAATGGAACACAATCGAACATTCAATTATGCTCGATCAAATGCAATRGAATTCACAATTTTTTTAGCATTCTATTCCGTTCGATTGCCGAATGCAATTGAATCTAATCATGTGATTGCATCCTATTTATTCGATTGATTATTGATTGGGAACAGGGGAAGGGTATGTGTGAAAGGTGAAACCTTCTCAACAATTAATAAGCCCAACAAAAAAGGATTTACCTCGTAGATAAATAATAATAAAAAACAATCATCTTCAGTGTATAATTATAAAAAAATGCCTCAAAACATGCTTTATCAAATCTCTTTTGATATACTGCATTGCTCAAAATATCATTCCTCCCTTACAGAGGGGGATTGAAATTTCCAGAGTATGGGGAAGGGTCTGAGGAGGGTATATTTTGTAGTTCCAAAAAATATTCATACCTCCCCAACAGAGGGATTGGAATTTCCAAGGGGTGGGGAAAGGGTCTGAGGAGGGTATATTGTGTAGTTCCAAAAAATATTCATACCTCCCCCACAGAGGGATTGGAATTTCCAAGGGGTGGGGAAAGGGTCTGAGGAGGGTATATTGTGTAGTTCCAGAAAATATCCATACCCCCCCCCCCCCCACAGAGGTAGATTGAAATTTCCAAGGGAAGGTCTGAGGAAGGTATGTTGTATAGTTAGGAAAAATCCATATACCTCCCCCACAGAAGGGGATTGGAATTTCCAAGAGCTGGGGTGTGGAGGGTCTGAGGAGAGTATATTGTGTAGTTCCAGAAAATATCCATACCTCCCCTAACAGAGGGGGATTGAAATTTCCAAAGTGTGGGGAAGGGTCTGAGAAGGGTATACTGTGTAGTTCCAGAAAATATCCATACCTCCCCCACAGAGGGGGAATGRAATTTCCATGGGGAGGGGCTGAGAAGGGTATATTGTGTGCTTCCTGAAATTTATTAAGTATATAATTTTGGTGCACACAGTAACACGACTTTGCCCCCCCCTCAGCCAATTCAAAAATATGATTAAAATACTCACAGTTTCAAAATTGATAAAGTTTTAAAAATAACACAACAGTAAGATAATCAAAATTTTGGTCAAAAATCAAAAATTATTATCCAAAGGCGAAGCGAATATGAGCCTTAGGCAAATAATTGTTTTGGTGAGTTTTTTCCCCCAATTTTATTTATTTCTACAAGTCAGGCACAAATCAACAAACATTCATCTGTAGGTGAATATTTAACAATTGAAGCGGTGAAAATGAAAATGGCCTAAGTGACTTTTTGGGATGTTTTTAAAAAAATAGCCTAAACCAAACAAAAATACCAGCAAACAGCCTCTTTTAGTTTAAACATGAATGTTTAGTATTTATTTTTCATGATTTTGATCGGAAAAGTAGAAAAAAACACTCCTTAGTTAYGCATTGGCTTTGCTTGACAACCGATCATCCGTGAACTAGTGTATATTTGCATATCACTTGATGCCTCAAGTGAATTGCATTAACAGTATGCTGTGTGTTCAAGCAGAAACTGTAATTCGATTTTGTCACTGTAAGGCTAATTTAATTGCAGCTTCTCTTTTTTTTTACAAGAGCATGGTATTTTTTGGCACAAATCTATTTTTTCGCCTTTGCAGGAAGCTACACGTCCTTTAAATGCATGTGTGCTTACTATTYGCCGAAGGYGAAGTGATTATCRGGGAATATTTACCGAGACACAAGTCTTCGAGCGGTGAGGTAAATATTCCCCAATAATCACTGAGCCTGAGGCAAATAATTGTTTTAGTATAAATACGCAGGTGATTCTTTCAAAAAAAGGAAAAAAAGAAGACATTTTTTTCCAGTAACAGCAACAAAGTGCCTGGCYGCCATTTTGGATTATCGCTGGAGGTGATTATCGTGTGATAGTGTGAGTTTCTTGACCAATCAGYGTGCGCGATTTTCTATAATCACCTGCATATTTTTTCTAAAGCAGCATAAGAYGTAAATTCTGACCAATGAGCGCGCCGGATTTATTATATTCACTTGTGTAAAAATACTAATAGTAATATATTGCATTTCCACAATTGGATTTAGTTCTAACTACAATTTGTAAGTTTATATCGACGGATAATAGTTATTTCCCATTTTGACAGCATCATGACTGGTGCTTTACTTAAAAAACAAAATATTTTAGGTTCTAGCGAGTGTGTTTAAAATGACTTTCAAAAATATTTTCATTCAAAAATGTAAAATTCACTTGTGACAGGCGACATCTGTTGAATTATCTTTTTACTAAATCAAAATAATACAGGAAACATAAATTCACGTCTTAATTCAATAAGGAAATGAATAAATATAAAACAAATAAGTTTAGGATAAAAAAATGGAGTGAATTACCTCAAGTTTAGCATTTCCTTGAAAGATGGTCTGAGCTTTGTGAACGAGTTGTGCGAAAGCAGACGAAAGCTGGGTCATTTTTTGTCGTCCATCATAAGTTATCTCACTTTGATCTGGATCTACCTCGCCTAAAAGGAGATCTAAGTCAACAAAAGCTTTATCAAATTCTTTTTCCAATAGATCAAGCCACCGAAACATCGACACCGCGACCGCCATTTTGTTTGAAAGAACCGGTGACGTCACACGGACCCAGTGACCGCATAGGTTTCTGGGACAGTTGGATGATTTCAGCGCCGTAAAGTTTCTATGGAAACGACTTTTTAATCTCATATATCCAAAGCCAGCCAATAAAGAAATAAATATAATAAGACAAACTGGGTTACTAGTAATTAGATAGATCCGGCGTGTGAGTAGAGATTATTTTTCCCCGGGTCCTCTGGTTTTAACTCAGGCTACGAAACCCAACACGCTAATAAATTCAAATTCACAATGTAATCTGTACCGTTGTTTACTTTATTCTCTACTTTCCCATAACCCATAATTCTTTTTTGTTTGTTCCCATCCCCCCGCCCCCTTCCCCTCCCTTCCCCTCCCTTCCCCTCCCTTCCCCATTGGTAAAAAAATGAGCGGCTGCTTCCATTGGTAAAAAAATGAGCGGCTGCTTCCTTGTGAGGTTTCAGGATTTAATCTGTGAATTAGCCGTTCCCTGTCATAGTTTGGGGACTTATTTTGATATGTTTTGACTTAGCATCCGCTAGTTGCCCCCCAGTCAACCGCTTATTTGCCCCCCAGTCAACTCCAAAAAGTCACGTGATTGATAGTAAGCAATTAGTTTCGTCACGCAACACTTACTCCCGCGTGACGACACTAATAGCGGCTGCGTAGGAGACTAGTATTTTGATGTTGGCTAGTAAACACTAGCGTGGACTGCGTCGGTGTTTCTAATGAAAAAGTTATCGTAGATTGATAAGTTCTACACCGTAGTGAAAATAGGAACTGACGTTTCGGACGTTAGTCCTTCGTCGGAGTCAATGACTCCGACGAAGGACTAACGTCCGAAACGTCAGTTCCTATTTTCACTACGGTGTAGAACTTATCAATCTACGATAACTGTTAGACTAGTATTTTCCTTATCTTACAAAACACAAGTATTTTGGGCTACCTGTGGTTTCGAGTCCACAGTCCTCACGTGCTGATACTTATATTCCGTGACTTCGTTAATATTTAACATGACATATTGAAATTTCTCACWCATGAGAAAACAGTAAAGAATCGTTTGTACACTTTTAACACCTAACATAATAATGCTTCTTCGTCGAAGATACAGARCCCTATTAGCAATAGGTGTCGTGCTTTTAGTGGTGAAAATATATATTTATTTTAGCTACAAAAGCTTCGCTTACTACACTAACCAAGCTTGGAATCCAGTCGTTAAATGCTACAACACGAAGCAACACCTTCAGCAGCTCGTGGATCTGACTCACGACGTTCATCACATCTTGAATAAGATGGATATTGAACACTGGCTTATTTATGGTTCGATCTGGGGAGCCAAGCGAGTTGAAGGTCCACTGCCTTGGGACAACGATGTTGATATTGGATTCAGTGGAGAGTCATACTCCTTTTCGTTTCGTACTCTCGACGAATTTCTGAAACCTTTTAAAGACGCAGGGATGACTGTGAGGAACAAATGGCGTCAAAGTGGCACAATAACTATCTCGAAACCAAATTTACCTCTAAGTCTTGACCTTTTYGCATTTTATGAGCATAATGGATGGAAGAAGAGAACAGGACTTGAAYCGTGGCTGTTCTTCTTGAACTATGATTATTACCACACTTTTCCTTCGTGGACAGTAGAACCACCTTTACCAGAAGTCCGCTTTGGTCACTTTAACATTTCGATTCCCAAAGGGGAATTTACGGCTCTTAAATATTTATATCGGGATAATTGGTGGACTGAAGTTAAACCAAAAGGTTGCTTATAAAATGGTAATCCGCCCATAATATTTGTTTGATCTCGGCATTTTCAAACATGAATCCTATTTATACGGTGTGACAACTACTAGGATGTTTTTGATTTTTCCCCCTAGTGGCTGCAAAAATTCACTTACTGGCTGTTAAAATTCACTAGGAAGTTTTTAAAAATTCTTCCAACATTGGGAATCGTGCTAGTTCGAAACGACATGCTGCTAAATAATGTTTCAATGAGAARAGAAACAGCTGGAAATACGAATGGAATCGTGTGGAAAAAGTAAAACGAAACAAGAATGCAACGAAAGTAGATTTTATACGAAGCTGTGAAAGAAAAATAAGTTAAAGAAAACAGTATTTAGCGGCTTCGCAAAACGGATTTTTACGATTCTGCGAAAAACGTCCGTCACGCAATACAAATGCAAATTCGTGATTATACTGACGTCTCATCGAGACAAACTATTGTTTTAACGCTAGGGATCATGCATGGTCGCTTGATTGGGATGGAATGACAACAACACATCTTAAATGAAAATGAAGTTTGGTTTATGAGCTGGTGAAGGCTAAATATTACGCTAAATATCTCGAGAGAAGAGCCTAAATTTCTATCATTTTATCCGAAGTAAACAAACCGTGACGTCATTATGAATTAGGGCAATTGACAAAACTCTCACTAGTATTTTTAATATTTAAATTTTAAAATGCTAATTTTATATGATTAATAATCTAGATTTTATTAGAATAATTCAAAACAGTGCATTAATTATGCCAGTTTTGCTATTTTGTTATTTTTATATGACACCGTTCCYGCAATGAAAAGTCTTAATATTTTTACACAAATGAATATGATATATCCTGCATGCTCATTGGTCACAATTTAYCTCTTGTGCTGTTATATTCATCTACAGGTGAATATAATGAGGTGAATATAACGTGCACACGCTAGTTTGTCAGTTAGTGCTGTTTGCAGAGATATATAGAATTTGAACAACAAAATTAAAAAGCCTTCTCCCTCCTATTATTTATTAAATTCACTTGTGTTCAAAATACTAAAACAATAATTATTCACCTCAGGGTCAGTGAATATYGGGGAATAGTTACCRAGGTGCAAGCTTTTGAGCATTATTCTCCGATACTCACCAAGCCTAAGATGAATGATTGTTAAATATTCATGTGATAATGAAAACTCCAAAATAATCTATTAGATTACATTAATAAATAATTGAAAAACGTTTAAGTATTTCAACATTTTAAATTAATTATTTATATAATTTATAGGGTAAATATATCTAAAAAAATAATAGAATATGAATTTATATATTTTGATTTATCAATATTTTATTTTACTGATTCTAATATGTGATAAAAATAATCTATTAATATTTCAAATGTCAGATGAATAAAGATAAAAGAAAGATTTCTGCCTTTGTTGTTGTGGAAGTGAATTTCATTAGCTAACAGAAGACATCACATAATATGAAAATACTCAACCATAAAATCATTGTTGAGTTAAAACATTCACCATTTTCCATAAGTTGCAAGCACACCATTTGTCTCGATTTGATGCAAGGCATGGCTGCCTTTGAAGATGGCGCAGGGAGCTGTGAAGGGGACTATTAAGTATATATTCAGTGTTTAACTTCATGGACAAAAGTATACACCAAATTCAAAAATCATTGTCGAGTACCAGTATACTTTTGTTTGCATGAAATTGTTTTAAATTGCTAGCCTATTGAGGTGGCTCACTTCTCACGATGACTGTATGTATACCCCCTCCCCTTAGGTCACTGCTAATTTAAACAAAAGAAAACAATAGAATTAGCATAAAATAGCACTATTTAGTGATATTTATGTTGCACACTTTTAGTGTTTGCATTCTAGTGCATTATTATTTGAGTCATTATCAYGGCTGGTGCTGCACAATAGGACACAGGGGTCCCCTTCCAGTTACATTGCACCATGAATTTCCAAAAATCTTTAAATCCTCATACCCATCCCACAGTTCATAACTTAGTAAAGGCTTGACACGGAGGGTGGTCACTGCCAGCCTAAGAGAAGGTTTCTTCAAGTCCTCAGTGGTTGATTTATGCCCCTCCCCTGCAAGGAGAGGTGGTTTCTGAGAGGAAGAGTGGATGGGCAGGATCTCAATTTTATATGGCATAGTCATCCAAGTGACAAGGTCTAAATAGTTATAGATGTTATTAAAACAAAATACAGCACCTTCTGCTCAGTTACTACGGTTTTCCATATTCTGCAAACTCAGACATTTTAACGGCTTGTCATGAAATTGGTTTTTTACTACAGCCAGTCAAGAATATAAAAGGTACCAACTGATTATCTTTGAGTGACGGCAGCAAAAAAAACAAATTTCAGCATGCAGCTTGCAACTAACGAGTTTACAAAATATCGAAAACTACAGTAATTTAGGGCCCTGGGTGTTGAAGTAGGGTGATGATGTACTGAACATGTGACACAGGAGAAATGAAAATCAATATAAAAATAAACAGTTTACTGGTATTTGTATGGGAAATGTGCTGGGATAGACCTTTATACTTGGGCATAATGTTTTCCAATATTTCAGACCAAGCTTTGTGAGTGTCATTTCCTTGAGAATAAGATTACCTCTTTGAGTTGTATCCATATTCATGTCATATCCATATTCTTCTCATGTGCAACAATTAAAGAAAGAAATGATACTCTAGAGAATGGCATACGTTTTGAAATGGTAACACATTACACCCAAGATATAAAATTATATATATATATATTATATAAACAAAAAAAACATTACACACAAAATGGTCATTGATCCTCTGAGGGCTTGCTAGAAATTGTAAAACTTACATAATTTTTTTTGAATGGTTACATGAGCATAAACATAATAATAAATAAAAATTACATTATAATTATTATATTGGTACTATTGTATATCTAGACATGGGATCATGCATATTGTTGTACTTCAGGAGAAGAAAGAAGAAAAGAAAGAAAAGAAGAAAGAAAAGAAGGAAGAGAACAATATATTTTTCTTGCGTAGCCTTGAAATCAAAGGGTTAATCAAAGGTTTATATTGTCATGGAAGTATACATGTTGCCGTGTGTAAAAGTTGGATTGCCAAGTGCAATGAAACAAACTATATCTGCTGCCTGTACATACATGAGGCTTTTTTGAGTTTGAAAAGCAAAAAAGCATCCTGATCTAGCTTGGGTACCAACAACACCAATAAGGAGTAATAAATAAATAAGGTTGTTTGCACTCCCAGAGGAGGGGTGGGGGTACTCCCATATGTGGACTATACAGGGATGATCCGCTGAACAGGGTATGGTTTTTCAAGCTTCTTATCATAAACAGGGTATGCAATTTCACTCAAGTTCCAAGTTCTTCCTGAGTTTCCTGTCATATTCAGGGATTCTACTTTCGTATTGACCAAAACTGGTTATTATGGTTGTAAAAAAAACGATACGYGAGATGACATGATAATTGGAACAGGAACTCAGTGCAATTAATTATACCTTTTGTCATAAACAGAGTCTACAAATTTGAGTATTTTTGTCATAAACAGGGTACCCCTTTCAGAATCCCAGCGGAACACCCCTACCCAAATCCTAGCGGGGTACCCCCTGGGTTTGTACTGAAGCTAGGGCAGGATGCATCATGTACACTATCTCAGGAAAGGCCTACAACTATATACTGCAGTTGTTTCTGATGTTTYGCTGACAAAGATTTATGTTTCATCGCTATTGCTATCTATCATCAGCATTGATGAGTCCATATTTGACTTCCAGTATACTCAAGGTATGTTGATAGGCACTACAAAGTAAAAAGATTCCCAATTTTAATAAAAACACAGAGTTTTACATCTAGGTGATCTTGCTCACACACTTCTGGTTACTTTTAACCAATCAGAAGCATTTTTGTTGCTTTGCCAAAAGTTTCATGATGAATTTCAAAATGGAGTCGTATTTTCAAGTTAACCTTTTTAAAATACGTCCTGAAATATAACTTTCCATTTAAAAATCCTATGTTACATGTACCAGAAAAGCTTCCCCTTGTCCTATCAGCAATTGAAATTAATAAAATAAAGCATAAATACAATAAAAGTAAGCAAAACTTGGTGTTGTGATAYTAGGCCCCATCCACACGTATCCRGAAATTTTTGTATCCGCAAATTTTTTTTATGGATACAGGTTGTGTCCACATGGTCCTCAAATTTTTGTGACCATATCCACAAATTCTACGAAAACGGACACGTGGGACGGTGAAAATGATTCGAATACGCTGCATGTGGATGCAAACATTTTTGTATCTGCAAAAAAATTTGGCGGATACAAACATTTCTGGATACGTGTGGACGGGGCCTTAGTCACCAGCTGCCATTTTGATTACTGTGAGATATTATGAAATAGGAGACTGGGTATCAGGAACTGTTCAATAAAATTGACAAATAATTCTTTGCACGCTTTGAGGCGAGATCACCTGGATAAGTATGTGGTTAGAGTGAAGTCATTAAACCCGTGAAATAGATGTCAGAAAAATACACTTTTAAATTAGTAGACCCTAATTCCATTGTTTTCTTTTGTGTCTATTTGACTAGTATTACACATTGACTAATATATTTTATCTCACAGGTTAAATGCCTTCACTCTAATATACATATATACTATTAGTATAATTTTAGACTTGAGTATAGAGCRAGTTTCCACTAGTTTAATTCTCTACTGAACTACAATAAAAGTCGATATCTTTAGATGTGTTGTTCTCTTCSTTGCCACAAGGGTTTTTTCTGGGTTTTCCAGTTTTCCTTGCTCCATAAAATCAATGTGAGTTGTTGAGTCAGTTGTGTGTTTTAAATAGTGAATGGGAATTACTTGTGCTGAAGCCGTGAGAGCGCTTGCCTCTCACCAATTGATGTGACTGGAGTTCAAGTCCTGCAGTATCAGTGTCATATGTGAATAGAGTTGTTTGTTGGTTCTCTCCTGTGCTTTGAGGGTTTTTTCTCCAGGTTCTCTGGTTTTCATCCCTCTACGAAAATCAACCCCTTAATTCCAGTGCCACAGGTTTGTTAGCCACTGGCTATTACAGTAAGTGCTAGACACTCATAGAAACAAGGACAGAATGTACRAAGTAATGTGTATGTGAGGCAAGCTTCATTGAAGAGTTTGTTACTGGGAGTGATTGTACTATATATGATATATGGTTTTTTATTGTCAATTTTACAAGAAACATACCTTCCGTCTCTGATGATGGAGAACTCTTCAGGTACAGAAAGGTTAATTACAGTAGATCCTTGTCGACAAGCTTGTGATTGGCCAAGCAATCCCCCATCTACAATCAAGTTCAGCTTAGGCCAAAGAGTCTTGAACTCCTACAAGAAATAACAAAACATTTTTACCCTCAATGTTTTCATTTCTACTTGCCAATCAAAAAAAAAAAAGGTAAAGGGAATTGATTTTACATTGAAACTGCAGGGAGAGCAGAGAGTCTAATAATATTCTCCTGAGCCATGAGCTGGTGTATTAAGTGTTGCAAAGCGTGCCCCTTACCACTTCGGACTATCAGTGCTCCTTATTACRGGTACTTACAGTCAAACCATCTCAAGCATGAACATGTAGAGGTCAATAATGACTTTATTTTTGGATTCTTGATTGCATTATTCGATTTGAACATTTATTATTGAAACAAAGTCTTCAAAGCCTAGCATATACGAAATCCAAGCATATATGCAGCTGAAATGCAAGAACAACTTTTTGTTCAAGGAATATGTAATATCAATRACTTACCTTCTGTTTGCGCTATAAACAAGAGCCTACGAGCCAAGTTAATCGAATTTTCAAGCTATTCTTTATTTTTCAAATATTGAAGACTTCATTTCTATAATGAATGTTCAGATCGAATAATGAAATCAAGAATCCAAAAATAAAGTCATTAATGACCTCTACATGTTCATGCTTGAGGTGGTTTGACTGTAAAGCTACAGCTACACAATCTGAGAGAGAAGTCCAAACAGACGGGGAGTTCCTGAGCATTGAACCATGGACCTTTACCTATGAAGGCCGCACACTAACCAACTGAGCTACAGTGTGTGYCTGCTCCTAAGTTTTACGATGCAGACACACTATACCAGGACCACTTGAACAAAATTTAAGATAAAAAACTATAGACAATAAGGAGAGAGCAAAATCAGTATCATGACGTAAGCCAATCAAAATCTCTTATTCCCACAGTTTTTGATAACAGCTAGCTAAGTTTTTCTTAGATATATATTATGAGATCTAGGCTTTGTCGCTTGCTCCTGATTGGTTCAAATTTGACTAGAGTTTGATTCCTTTGTTTTTATTCTATGCTGTGATTGGTTAACTTTCTTTAAGCAGTCCTGGTTAGTGTGTTTTCAYGTAAGACTATTTCATGTGCCAAAGACAATATTTTTCGAGGTTTTGCATTTATGGCTGTCACAAGAACAGGTGAAAAATCAATGACACCTTTTTAATCTAATGTTGAAACCTCAAAAATAGGAACCATTGTTTTTACTGTACCTCGATTTTCAAGCTACTCATTCCAGCACTCTTATTGGCGCTTGTCAAAGCAATCGGCTCCTTACAAGCTTTAGCAAGTTGCTGAACAAACTTATGATTTGGGATTCTTATTCCTACGAGCTTTGTTCCTGAATTTAAACCTGGATTGAGTTCCTTTGTCCTTTCAAAGACCAGTGTAACAGGTCCTGGCAAGAGGTCATGTAAAATCTCGTCACAGACAGTAACCTTACCCCACCTRAAAGAAATGTAACCAACATAATTTGTTTAAACGATGTGTAGTTCCAGAAAATGTYCATACCCCCACCATGAAGAGAATTTGTAAGTGTACCCCCTACTCCCAGGAACTTCCAATTTTCTTCCATACAAACTCTTATTTTGTTCTTTCTCTGACCCCCCTCCCCTCCAGAATTTCCAATTTCCTCCGTGAGTGGGGTATGGATATTTTCTTGAACTACACAATATAAAACAGCTACAGCTGACAAGATTATCAATAGGCTAGAATAGATTCACAGCAAGCACAAGAGTAATGTGACATTTTTAAATGATAAGAGATTTCATTTCCCAAAGGAGAAATTTTTTAAGGCAATTTGGAAACTGAAAATGTTATTTTAAAATAAAATAAAAAATACACAAAATCAGTATGATTGGTAATAAGTTAGCCTTATTAACGAAGAAGAAAAAATTATTAGAACTTTTTATGTTAACCAGGGATTGCGACAATGTAGAATCATTTCAAATCAAAAACTATGCCATTCAAAAATATCCCAAGATCACTTTAATTGCCCTAACAAGGGCTCTCAAAGTATTGGAACATCCTTGTACAACCCAAAACACTGAGTGACCCTGAAACAGACTTGACATCCATGTAATGACAGAGAGACAGTCAGACAAACAAACAGACAGTTGATTGGGCATACTTTTTGACATCTTCAACATCACTAACACAAATAGCAATGGGCTTTTCTTGGTGTCTTTCCTTGATTTCATATAACTGCTCGACAGCAGTTGTGGACTGTGCAAGTGCGGCAATGCCATATATGGTATCTGTGGGTATTGCTATGACATGTCCTAGCTTCAGTGACTTGACAGCCTCTTCTATCAATTTTGACATGTGATTCTCACTCTCTGAAAAGAAGAAAAATGTGCAAACAAATGACATAAAGCCTGGGCATAAGGGTCAGAGCACCTGCCTCTCACAACTGGGGTCTCRGGTTTGATTCCTCGAACCAGCATCACATGTGAGTAGAATAGTCTCCTTTACAGTACTCAGCATCTCAGGGGTACTCTTGCCCGTTTAGGGTAGGGATCTGTCGCTGAGCCCTCTGAACCCTGACCCTATTCCAGAGCAAAATAGCTAAAATTCATACCCTGTTCCAGAGCAAGATTGCTTAAAACCATACCCTTTTCTGATACCCTGTTCCAGAGAGGAGAGAGCGTGATTTCATATACCCTACCCGGAGCGAGCTCAATTTCATATACCCTGTTCCAGAGTAAAATTGCTGAAAACCATACCCTGTTTGGCGGCACGTACCCATATGGTGAATATAGGGGAGTACCCCCCAGGGATACATGTGAATATAGTCCAAGGTATTAAAAAAGATCTCTATCATTGCAAGGTCACTTTCGTCTTGCTTTGATGCAAAGACACAGCTACCTTTCAAGATGGCGCAGGGAACTGTGAAAGGGACTATTGGGTAGGTCCCTCCTTAGAATTCAAATGTTTTTTCTGATTTCTCAGTTTTCCTCACAATGTTGTGAATAAAAGTTCGAACGAAATAAGAATTTAACATTTTTTAGAATACTCCTTTTTACAGTTCTATTCAGTGACCACGAATAATAGTTCCTAGCCGAGGCTGGAGTTACCGTGCATGATAAACTGTAGTTTTGCTATGYGCGGAAACTCCAGCCTCGGCTAGGAACTATTATTCGTGGTCACTGAATGGAACTGTAAGAAGGAGTATTCATTCGACACTCTTTTCTTAACCTTTTTCATAGGCTTTAATTCAAATGAATGAATGAACCTTTATTTATACAGGGTAGCCCTTTCAGTTATATAAAATAACTGTTGTCAATAGGAGCCCTCAAGCTGTAAAAGATGATGAACAAACCCTTAGATTCACTTGAATCTTTTGCTACTTACCGTTTTCTTGAAGTCTAAATACTCGATATTTCATGATTGTCGTCTTTAGGACAGGTAAGCTTAAGTTTCTACTATCAAGTGTTTGATGTGGATGTTTAACAAAATAAAAAACGTCGATTTATCCCAATGAATTTAAAAACTTAGACTAAACTTCTTATTTCAACTGATAATAAGACTCTAGTGCATGTTATTGCTAAGTAAGATACTCTAATTGTAAGCTAAGGGCGTAGGAATACAGCTCTATTGCGTTGTGGTTGCATCATAAAAACCACACGTGACGGACATCTTGGATTTTATGAAACCACAGGTAGCCCAACCTTATGCTTCTGTAAATTTATAAATAATCATTATAATTRAATATTAGATCTTAAATGTTATGGCAAGGATTCGTTTCTATTTTTTTCTTTTCAAGAATGCCTCTTGTTATAACCACATTTATTAGCTATGTTATGAAATATACAAATGACAATATTTAGGTGATGTGCCCAGAGACAAAGGTCAAGACCAAGACGAAGAGGGTCTACTACCGTATACCTAGCAAGATGGTTTAAGTTGTCCTACCAAATAAATGGGCCAATCACAGTGTTATTCTTGAAAGGTGGTTGTCGGATCAAAACACYTCCAGGAATTTCTAGTGTTCAATATTTTTACCCTMTKCGACTAACTCCTGCCCGGCTAGCTCAGTCGGTAGAGCATGAGACTCTTAATCTCAGGGTCGTGGGTTCGAGCCCCACKTTGGGCGGTAAACTTTTTCACCTCTTTTTACCCCACAATAACTATAAACTGACTCATCTTTTAAAAGTTATTATGTTTTAATTTGCGATGTTCTTTCGTTATCATTATTATTATTTTAAAATTACAAGCAACATATTTTATGAAAGTTAACAAAGTTTTTTTAATTTTCACTGGATTGTTATTTCAGATTTTTTTATAAATATAAACAAATAAAATATTCAGAATATTTAATTTAACATTTAACTATCTTCATTAATTTTTCATTCATAATTTCTAAAGCTACGTAAAGTTTATTTGTTCTAGTATCCAGATTCTCTCGACCACGAAGAACGAGAAGGACTGGTTATGATGGAGATTTTGTCCACATAATGACACGTGATTAAAACTGCTATCAATCAAAGTCGGTTTTCGGTATTGAAAATACTTTAAAAGCATAAATCTTAAACGTATAAAATACAATACACATATTTCTTGAATGCGTTCAAGTTATATATCCGCAGGGATGGAATTCAATTTTCTATCATAAAATATTTTTGTGTAAAAATATTCCTTTCTGTCATAAAAAGGCTGCTAAGCTCTTATTGGTTGAATATTTTAGACTACATTCTATAAAATCTACTAAACCTCTGACTTTCGACATATTTTGGGTGAGCTCAACACGGTGTATTTGGTGGAAGTGACAACAGGTGGCGAAGCTTCGGGCTGAGTTCTGGGAAGAGTTACCGTATGTCTTCTTTGTCGATCTCTTGAACGTCGACTGCTCCCAGAATGAATGAAATCCTTATCAGAACTAGTTTCTATAGCAACGCGAGTATTTTCATTGAAATCTATCTCTCTTGGTTCACATCTTTGTCTTTCCTTGACAACAACCCTTTTCGTGACGTATTCCCCTCCCTCCTGATTGGCTGTATCTTTAGCTTTCTCCTGATTGGTTAAACTTGAATCCCGCATCCTTTGTGTCAGCGGACTATCCTCCACGTCCTCGCTTTTTGAAGAAGAATCGCTGAGTTTAACTCCACTATCGTTTCCATTCTCCTTTGTATCTTTTCCGTGTCTGACTCGAGCCGTAATCATCACTGGCATACTTGAACGTCGATCTTTAATGGTTCTCGACGACCTAGACTCAGGCACACGAGATTCGGCCTTTCTTCGGTCACGTGGTTTGGTTGTATCTCCGAATGACTCGCCAAGTGCTTCACTGATGATTCGTTTTATTGCCGGATCACGTGTGTCACTGTAGCTTCTGTGATCACGTGATTTTGGTACATCGACATGAGTCGCAGTCCCCCTTGTCTTACGAGACGATCTGGTGTCGAGCTCTGTCGTCTGTCTCCGAGTTTTTATCCGAGCGTGGCTCGGTTTTGCATTCCGGGAGTCCATCACAGGCACTCTGAAAGGTTCACTTTTTCGTCTGTCGGGCGATTCTCGTACATCACGCGAAATCCTTGCGTCACGTGATTCACTAGAAGAGTCACGTGCACCTGTGTTCTTGGTCTGCGAGTCATTCATGACTTTTTCAACCGATATTCTGGAATCGAAGTCTATTGTTTTTCTTACACGCGCCGCGCGTGCCTCCCTCGATTCCAATTGGTCACCGAACTCCCTTCTGTCCTTGGAACCCTTTCGATACRAACGATCACGTGACTCCTTGCGGTCATCTTGATCACGTGATTCCTTTCCATCGCATGGTTCACGTGTCGAYTTACTCACTTCGGTATCCGCCAGAGCGTGTTGACGCGAAGTTTCCATGACCGTATTTCGTCTTCGTGAGCGATGGCTCCGATCCTTATCTCTTCCTGCCTTGCAGCTATCTAGACTCAGTTTCCTTGGTGACATGGACGGAGGAGGGAGGTTAAGCGGTTCGATCGGTGGGTGCTTGGTATGCAGCTTGAGGCTAAGGTTAGGAAGAAGAGGCTCGCGAGGGGTGAAGGGTAAGGATATGCGAGCACGTGGTGCTGTGGTTCTTTTTGAATCGTCACTCGAAGTTGACGAAGTAGAATAACGTCGATTCCTTGACGGAGAAGCGAACGGTCTCAAACTCGACAAACTTGATTCGACTGCGTCACTAGCTTGAGATTTGTCACCATCATTACCTTTGCTTACCACATCATCCTTACTAACATCACCTTTGTTTGCTACAACCACTTCACCACCATCATATATATCTCCCATCTTTGTTGTACCTACACTACTGTCATCTCTGGTCTTTATCGGAGTATTATCCTTCGCAGAATCAAATCCTAGTACTTCCTTATAAAAGTCCTTCATAGGGCTGACTGGAGTCGAATACCGCCGCGTCGGTTTGGGACTACAATGTACCGACAAAGGACTCAGCGTACTACGAACCATCAACTGCGCAGACTCAGGGCCTTCCTTTTCAGGACCCTTTTCTTTCTGCTCTACACTAGTCACCTGACAAACAAGCCCGTAGGTAGGACCACTAGGATCTGATATCTTGGGTTTGATTGGCTCAGGTGGTTCTATTGGTTTTCTTATAGGGCTAGGGTCACGTGTTACGGGGTACGTTCTACTGGGAAGAGAACCTCGCCTTCCTCTAAAAGCAAACGGTGACGTGTCAGTCTTGTTGTCATGGTTACTGGGAGTTCGTTCCCGCGGAACTGACAAGGGAAGCGATCCCTTCCTCTCCAGTGGAATCTATTAAAAGACAGAAAAACAGCTTAATTAGTGGATATTATATCTGAAAAGAAATTAATAGTCTCTTTGACACAGTTCCCTGCTCCATCTTGAAAGGTAGCCGTGCCTTTGCATTGAAGCGAGACGAATTGTGAGCTTGCAATGATAGAGAACTCTTTTAACACCTTGGACTATTATTCCTATGTCCCTATCATTGCACAAGCTCACCGTTTGTCTCGCTTCGATGCAAAGGCACGCCCACCTTTCAAGATGGCACAGGGAACTGTGAAAGGGACTGTTTAATCCAGTACTAAATGCGTTATACATATTTTACACAAACCTTTATTGGATGTGGTTGTACAAGAGGCTTGGGCGCGGGGGAAAGAGGGATGGCAATGACCTTGGTATTAATCGGTGAAATCCGCACCACCGGCTTCGTGCCTGAATCTTTTCTGACATTCATTTTTCTTACGACGGTTATTTCATCTTCTTTGAAACTTTCCTTCACGAAAACGTCGTCGCTTATCGTACTTGACTCGCTGTTGCTTACATCTTTCGTCGAGGTTTCGGCCCTAATGTTTAGGTCATCATTATTATCATTATTCTCCATTAGTTGTTTTTCAGAAGATTGAGAAGGAGCTTGCACCAACACCTCAACAGATGCCTGCTTCCTCGCCAACCTCATTTTATAAGTTTCGGAAATTTTCCGGCCCACGGGCTCGGTAGGTTCGTCTTTTCTCTCTCGTATGATGGCCATGCCATTGTGCCCCTCTTCTGATTCCTTTTGTTCAGGGATCTCGTCATCTGCGATTTCTAAAGATTCCATGTGGTTGAAAGCTCCTGATTTGTGGACTGTTTCTTCTTTTGGTGTCGCTAAGGCACCATCAGCCTCGTCTGGCATCGCAGCGGATCCTGTGTGTCRATGAGGAAAGATTTGAAGGAGGATCCTGAAGGGGTAAAATGGGAGCTGGGATTTGCCTTTTGGGGGCTGGGAAAAAGGGATTTTAGGTACTGGAAAAGGGATTCAAAAACAAACAAACAAACAAACAAACAAACAAACAAAAAACAAAACAAACCAAAAACACACAAACAAAAAATGGGAATGGGAAAAACATAGGCTGTGACAATGGGATTTGGTCAAGATGAGGCTCGGAGATGGGATTAGGACTTCCCCTTTCAGGACCCTCTAGAAGCTGTATCAAAAGGTATGTCTGAATTTCTTTTATGGGTCGCCGTCCCCAGTAACCATGCCAGTGAYCTCAACAATTCATTCTTTTCTCATCACAAATCATACCTCCCACCCTCTCCATTAAAGTACAATTTTCAAGGAAGCGGTGTCATAATAACTATGGGTGCATGGTCGGCATTCAAGGCCAGTCGCTTTACAAAAGTTTTTATTAACGCAGGTGGTCAATAAACTCAGGTTCAAAAAATGTACTAACCTTTAAACCCCCCCCCCCCCCCTTCATGCCAGTTACAATTTTCAATGAAGTGAGGTAATAAGTATTGGTCGGCATTCTTACGACTGGTCGTTCTACAGAGGTTTTAAACAACGCAGGTGGTCGATAAACACAGGTTTTCAAAATGGACTTACCTTTCAATTCATTACCATCCCTATCACTAGCAAGGCGACCACGCATTCCCTGACTACACTGTGACGACCCAGCAGCAGAGCTCCCTTCCTGCGCTGAATCGGCTTTTAATTTTTGAAGCCTGTTGCTACTACTGTACCCGGATCCAGCGGTGTCTTCCATTCGTGGCTTCTTCGGCACAGCATCGGGTTCATCCGTCGAGTCGGTTTTTATCAATCGGCGCGGTAGTTTCGGTGTTGGGTGCTGATGGATGTATCGCTGTAGTTTTTTGTTTATGAGGTGGTAAACACAGGACGCGGCGTTTGACCTAAAAAGGAACTACCGTATTATTCCACAGGGACTGCAGAGATAGTTTGGAGTTGAAGGGGTTCAAGGTAATRCCCTCGCCCCTCCCCCTCTAAAATTTTAAAATTGAGGCTCTTGATCGGAAATGCGATTTCCAGTTCCACGGTTTTGAAGGTCAATAGACCTAATTACBTTTGTATGTAAATTGCCCATTTCGAACCATGTGATGTTAACAAGATGTTCTCTGGAGAAATGTTTCTTTCAAATGTTTTCATATCCACATGAATATTATGAACAAATACATTTCAGAAAGATAATCAAGGAACAATTATCTAAAGCATATCATATAAAAAATCCCTTGGTTTGAAATGGGCAATTTACACCGGGAGGTATTTATGATATAGGTCTATTGCAACGTATTGCATTAAAGTCACATCAAAGCTTTAGGCAACTCATAACAGAAAATCATTTTTCCAAAAGAGGTTTTGCACCATCACGTGCCCATCCCATAATACAGCTTGGGCTGCCTGTGGTTAGATAGCCGAACAATAAAATCCCCCTGCTCTTGGGAATTGAATCCTTTCTTATGTAAAACGACTGTATTGTTCCTGCCATCTAACATGGCTGCCGTCACGTGATGGTGCAAAACCTCTATTGGTTAAAAGCGTAGTTCCATTGATATATTTTTTGCAAGAGACAATGGGGACTGGTACCGACCCTATCTTGGGTTGTTAATCACTACATCATTTGAACATAGTTTGTGATTGGATAAAACGACAAAGAATTTTGATTGGTAATCTACGGCTTCCGGAAGAATGAAGTTTGTGATTGGAAATGAAAACAAAGAAGCAAAACAAAGAAACCGGTTGAGTCGGGCGGGTAATCCACAACCGGCAGAACGCGTACTGTTCAGTAATCAACTCTTACTTTGTATTGGTTATTCAGTTTTATTCTCTTTTGCACCGACGAAAGACTAACGTCCGAAACGTCAGTAAGTTTTTTCATCTTTTCACGGTGTAAAATTTACCCTTTTATCATTGCAATTTCATTAGAAACTCCAACGCAGCTCACACTAGTTTTTAGCTAGTTATCTCTTCATTTTTACTCATTATTCATGACGTCATACTTACCTATTGTTCGTAACCCCATCTATGATATCCTGTTCTTTGAACTGCATTCTGTTAGTCATGTGACTAATGATGTCTCTGTTCATTTCCTCGGGTTTCAGATAGTTCGGGAAGGGCATGGGAACGAGCGGGTCACTCTCGTAGCCTTTCTTCAGCCATGTGTGGTTCAGGGCTTCTTCGATGGAGATGCGTTCAGTAGGCTCGAACGTCAGGAATCTTAATATTAAATCTTTACAACCTGGGAAAACAAAGTTGATTTTAACTTACTCGAATGGTCACCCTGTTGAACCCGTTTATTCCCATATTTGAGGATAAAAAAATATGTTTGAAAACGCGTAATTTCATCCTAAAGCGCTTGAATGCGAGGCTATGTGAGGAAAATCTATTGTTCTAGTCAACATGGCTACCGTGAGGGAACGGTTCATGAGCCTCGCCGAAGCCTGAAGGAGGATAGGGTAAAAGAAAACTCATATTTTACAGTCATCACTCCCCATACGGGGCTCTTCCGTTAGGCTCCCTCCATACACTCTACCACTACATTGATTCTATATTTACAACATACAAAACTCAACTCACATGTTGMTTTTTAMGGAGGGAGGAAACCGGAGATCCCGGAGAAAACTCTCGTGACAAGGGAGAGAACAACACATCAAACAAACTCAATATAATCCAGTCTGATCCGGACTCGAATCCGGACCACAGTGGTGAGAGGCGAGCGGTAAACCACTACGCCAACCATAAAGACCTAGTGAATTTTAATGACACTTGGTCTAAAAGGAGAGCAAAGTAGAATGGCGCACTAGGACAAATATCTTACAAACTGGGATCCCAAATCAAATTTGAGCTTAGTTCAATTAGTTTCCATAGCAACATACCTGGTGACAGTCGGTCTGGTATAGGGTTCATTTCCCCCTTAACCATCTTGTTGTATAGTGTGATGATATTGAAGGGTTCAGCAGTGTAGGGTAGTTTACCAGTCAACATGGCGTACATATTAACACCTCTGTAATAAAAAAAATAACAGACTTGAGAAAAGAGTACGAGGGAGGTCGGGGAAGGATTGTTATGCGCAAAGGCTCACGGGAATCTATGAAAAATGAAATCAAAGAATGGCGTAGAGGAAGGTTCAATTCCTGGCCTCGCAATCACTGTGAGAATTTGAAGCGATCCTAGATGCCTTTACAATTGCTAATATCTACCCTCTGGCTAGTCCCATGCATCCCCATTTTCAAAATATCTTATTACACAAGATAAGCAAAATGTTTTATTTTAATGGCGGGTTAAYGCTAGCATAAATAAGATATGCCGCTGACCGCTAGTTAGACTTACATACTCCATACGTCCACCTTGGTACCATATGTTAGATGTCCTAGAATCTCAGGGGCCGCATAAGCAGGGGAGCCACACTGAGTCTTACAATGTTCCCTCGTAGTAGATCTTTCTCCTGTCTGTGGTACATATACTGTATTGCTTAGACCAAAATCTGAAGAAAACAAAAAATATGCAGGAAAAATTGTCGGGAAATTCAAAAGATTTCAAAAGATCTTTCTCCCGTCTGTGGTACGTATACCGTATTGCTTAAACCAAAATCCAAAGAAAACAAAAAATATGCAGGAAAAATTGTCGGGAAATTCAAAAGATTCGAATGTTGTTATTAGCCATTAGCCGAGGTTACAGAAAAAACTGGGTCGAGTTGGAATTGCAGTGCATTGTGGGACTGTTTAGGTGACGAATGGGAAGCAATCTTCCAAATATGTCCCCTAAATCATTCCAATAATGCATTGCAATGCCAAATCGAGCCAGTTTTTGTTCTCAATATCGAAAAGGCTAATTGGCCGTTCGCATGATGTCGTCATTTTACTACGACTACCACAATGCTTTGCGAATCTTCTTTCCTATTCAAGTCTGTATTCCCTTCTTAAAGAAAAAATAGTTTGAAAGGGATGTTCTGGTAACTATAGTAAATGATGCTATTATGCAAATGAACTATTAGCACAATAAGGATGAATAATATTCATAGTTTACCTATAATCTTGATATTGTAGTCTTCATCTAAAAGTAAATTTTCTACTTTAAGGTCTCTACCATGAAAAATTAAGAATGCATGTTTTTAAATTCAAGAAATCGAAGGACAAGGGATYGAAAAAAAAAGTTCATTACTCAGCTCGATTTTTTCAGTTTCCTCTTTTTTTGTTTGGGTGGCATGGGTGGCGTAGTGGTTTATCGCTCGCCTCTCACCACTGTTGTCCGGGTTCGAACCCTGGCTCAGACTGGATCATATGTGAGTTGAGTTTGTTTGATGTGTTGTTCTCTCCCTTGCTACGAGGGTTTTTTCTGATTTCCTCTTTCCGTGAATATCAACATGTGAGGTGAGTGTTGTATGTTGTAAATATAGAATGTAGTGGTAGTGCGTGTGGAGGGAACCCAACTGAAGAACACTGTACGGGAGGAGGGGGGGGGGGGAGTGACGGTTGTAAAAAATATATTTTTCATCATTTGTTCATTCTCATTTTCCTCCCCAGTCCTCATCATTCCCTTGCCATTCCTCCCCAGTCCCTTCTTTTCCTGCCCCAGTTCTCCAGTTTCTCCATATTCAGACCATAACTTACCTATGTATTATGCCTCCTCGATGTAAATAATGAACAGCGGAAATGATCTGTCTTACAAACTTGCGCACTTCAACTTCGCCAAGTTTCTTACGATAACATATATAATCCATCAGGTCACCTCCACTAGCTACTTCAAATACTAAATAATACCTGTATAGAACAAAGTACGTCACTTCCGGTCAGTAGGACTGCATTTCCGGTGCAAATGGGAACACAGCGGGAAAAGGGAATGGTAACCAGATTCCTTATAAACTCCTATTAATCTGGAAGCAAAACCTTATTCCTGCTGTGCAAAATTCCCACTTCAGCAAAAACCGAAAGGGAGGCAGATGTCTTGCTTAGTAAAAGACGTCATTTCCGGTGGGTCCACTCTTCATTTCCGGCGGAAGTGGTGCCCAATAGTGAAAAGACGTCATTTCTGGTGAGTTCAACTTTAACTTCAGCATGAAGGGGATTATCGAGGTAGGTGTTGAAAAAATGTCAACTTTCTCGAGATTTCGTAGTATTAACAATAGTATATCGTATTTAGAAGCAAGCAGACTAACCTATTTTACACTTTTTCTGCAATATTGCCAATTTATTATTGTAAAACAATATACCACAGTAAAAAAAATTGTTAGATTTATTCACAGCATTCATATTCATATTCCTCTTCATATTGTATAATATGTAGGCATATTGTAAATGTTAAAGTCTAAAAGACAAACTCTGTGCGGATGCTCCAACCGGGACCACTTTGAAAAACTATTATCATTAACCAATCATATTGCGACATTTAGTTCAATATTTTTAACCAGCCAATCAGATAGCACATCGATATAATAAGAGCGTGAGAACGTGATAATCTGATTGTCTAACGCTGTTATCAGTTCAATTTCTGTCTAGTTTACTGTTATTTGATTGGTCAGTTTTATTCGTAATTGGTCCAGGTTAGTGCGTCCGCACAGTAAAATAAAATTACAGCATATAAAAATAAATAAATAAATAAATAAATAAATAAAAATAAAAATTTATTATTACAGTGCGAATCGAAAAACCATGGGCACCTAGAAATATTCTAGGAATGTTCTATTCTTCTTTGGCCAATCAGAATTGACTAACCACAAGATAACGGAAAGATGACAATAACGCTTCTGATTGGCTATTGAATATTCTTTAAATTTTTCTAGGTTCCCACGGTTTTTCGATTCGCACTGTAAAAAAAGTCTAACCTATTTTCTGTTTCCACTACTTCAAGTAACTGTATAACGTTTTGATGTCGAACCATTTGAAGGATCTTAGCTTCCCGTCTCATGTTCTTTGATACATARCGATCTTCCATGGCTTGTTTCTTGTCGATGATTTTGATTGCAACCTTAAGTAACAAAAATGAGTAAAAATATAAGCAAAATGTTCAATCCCATGCATCCCTCATTAGAAAAGGAAAGGCAAGAGAAGTTATTTAATTTTATCAAAAACAATAGCAATAAGAACAACAGCAAAAGCATGAACAGCAGTAACATGCACAACAGCAACAGCAACAGTAGCAACAACAACAGCAGCAACAGCAGAAACAGAAACACCAGAAGCAGCAAAAAAAGTAGCAACAAAAACAGTAGCAACAACGACATCAACAGCAAGAAATGAAAACAACAATCGTGGCAGCAGTAGCAACGGCAGTAGCTGGGTTTTTGACTGAAATATAACGAAGGTGCATAGACCCACTTATTTCAACCTTGGAGCAAAATTTGACATTTTCTTTTTACTTTGCAAATTGGTCTTTTTTAACTAAAAATCAGTTGGAATTTATATCCTCTTTCTGATATAAGGAATACAAGTTGATTTTTTGCTGCCATTCAGACTATAGTACTGAGACCCTGGCAAAGTCCTTCGTCTTCGTGTAGTTCGCGCTCGCGTAATAAAACACAGGCAGCCCAACCATGATCACACGCGCTGGACTTCGACGCTCGCTTGTTTTTTCACAGCGAACTTTTTGAGTCTCAGAGAGATCGTCTTGAAGCAAGTCTAAGGTTATGGGTATGATCATTAACGTTCCTTAATTACAATTCTAAAAACAAATTGCTAAAATTAAAACGAAGTTCTGAATGATGCCCTGAGGGTCAATGAGGTGACTAACATTACGGATAATGTCGTCGTTGCAGAAGACGAGAAAATTCCTAATTCTTTTTCACRAATGTCAACGAGGAATCAACCCTACGTGTGGACCTTATAGAAGTACCATCGCGAAAACTTCAAATAAGCAATTCTATGAAAGCAAATAGCTTCGAAATACTTGGTAAAGCATCACAAAAAGTTATCTCTACAGCATATATGTTCGTGGCAAAGGATTATAATCGTTCTTGTCAAGACATCATTGACACTTGGCGAGGCATGCTATGAGTGAAAATAAGTCGCTCTGGTCAGACCCAAATACGAGGACGTCATAACTACTCATTAATGTACTCGTCTGATGGTTCTGGTAGGTACAAATATAAGCATGTCGGTATGGTATTTGCCTGGGGATACTGGGCTGGTTCAAGACTCAAGTTTATCATTTTGGAACTATTTTGAGAGAATAGAAAAATCTAGCACTCGAACGATACAGGGTGTTAAGGGGGCAACTGTTAACACYCTACATCGTTCCAAAAATAAAACCATGACAGTCACTTTGGATGGTATCGTTTCTTTCTTTGATGTAGGTTTGATGGATGGATGCACGGACGGACGGACGAATGGATGGATGGATGGATGCACGGACGGACGGACG